CCTTAAACTAGGTGTGATAGCACACTCTTATAATCCCAGCTTCCTGGGAGGTTGTGATAGGAGTAGGATCAAAAGTTGGAAGCCACGTGGGTGACTTAGTTAGGCACTATCTCAAAATAAAAATGAAAAGCTTAGAGCTATAGAGAGACCCTGGGTTTAATCCCTGGTACTGAGGAAAAAAAAAAAAACGGGAAAACTTTTGGAAGAATAGGCTTAATGCATGTATCTCTGGGATCCCAGGGTTGGTGATGGTATCTAAAATCTGTTTTGCTGATACTGTAGAGTTTTTAAAATCTAAAATCTAAAATCCTTTTCTTTTTAAATAGGTTGTCTTTTTTTATTTCCCCTTGTGTCTTTGCTTTGTATGCTTTCATGTAAATATTGCTTCAATTAGAACACAAGCTTGTTAAGGGCATTATCTTTTTTTTTCCTTTGATTTCTCTTAATACCATATACCTAATAAAATGTTGTGAAGGTTTTTTTTTTTTTTTTTTTTTTTAGGCAAGGTCTCACTATGTAGTTCAGGCTGGCCTTGAACTCACTCTGTAGTCCAGGCTGGTCTCAAACTCGCAATGATCCTCCTGCCTCAGCTTCCTAAGTGCTGGAATTACAGGCGTGCACCACCATGCCCGGCTTATATTCTTTTTCTCAAAATGTGTCCCACAAAATCTAGATCCAGCCCTAACTCCTTCCCTCAGAGTGCAACTTCAGATCTCCAAAGGGAGATGGGGTGCCTAAGGCTTCGGAAGTGGTGATGTGAGGGCGGGGAGAAGCCAACTATTGAAAAGAAGAAAATGAAAACCTGGGGCAAGGAGGAGTGAGATGGAACTCCAGAAGTCAGCGCGTGGGATATGGAGCAGTTTGAGCCTAAACATGCAGGCCTGGCTCAGTGCTGGCGGCAGAGCTGCTGCCAGACCGGGATAAAATGCCAAACTCTCATCTGATGTGCGAGAGGAGTGAGCAGAAGTGATCCAGCCAGGTCCAGAGCCCATTCCAGCCCGATCAACCAGAGAAAAGCAGGCCCCTGCACCTCATTCAGAATGACCTGGGCGAGAAGAGACAGCACGGGGAATCAGCAGCACTAGGGAGAGCCCTACTGCAGGAAGCCTGGCCCGCTAGGCCCTCAGGCACAGCACTCTGGGTCCTCCACAGGCGGAGAGGCGGGGCCAGTGCCGGGGGCGGGGCCTATCTGAGGGGCGTGGGTTGAGATGGCCACTCCCCTGGGTAGAGGGTGTCCTGTCCGCCCGGATTTTCTGCTCAACTTGCTCTGGCCCAAGGCTGTAGTCTGGAAACGGCGTGCTAGGGAGCCAGGCCGGAGCCGGCCTGCCGGAGCCCACTAGACTCATAGGGAGCTGTTGAGCAAGGTACCCCTGCTCCTGGACGATGCGTCTGGCTGTTGTCCAACTTAGGCATCCGGAACTGGTTAACTTCTGGAGCTGAGGAGGGAGATGAGCCCTGCGAGGAAGGAGGGAGGGAGGACCACGCTGCAGGGCTCTGGCAGGGATTGCAAGAAGTGGGCTGGAGGGAGAGGATGGTGGTCATGGTACCTGACCGTGGCAGATAAAATAAGGATGAGCCAAGTTACATTGTGCCGCCTGTACGTCATTCCCACTCTTCTGTCTTCCTTACCTCATCCTCATTTTTTCCAGTTCTGTCCACTCTTCTGCCTAGGGTCTTCCTTCCCCCGCATCCGTCCCTTTCCTGCGGAGCTGTGCTTCATGGCCTTCAGCCCTCTGCAATAGGCCGCAGAATCCAGACTCCTCCAGGATTGCACAAACACTCGGGTTCCCCCAAAATGGAAAGCGAGCTCTAAGATACTAACAGAAACCAACACCAGGAAGACCCGAAAACAGCAGATCCCTTCCTTTGCTTTATGTCTCCAAAGTAACTCCTGTCTGGTCCCCACCTCCCCATTATCTCACTAGAGAACCTCTAATGGACGCATGAGGGCTTCCTTAGTGGCAGACTTCCAGTAAGTAGTAAGGGCTAGGAGGGAAATTATGTGAGATAAATTATCTTTTGTCTTTTATCAGTGTAGCTTTGTGTTTGCCCCTGGATGTCTGTCTGTCTCTGAATATCTCAGTTTGTCTGTCTTATGCCAAAGAGGGATAAGGGAAGGGCAGATGTTTTCCCACCAAGAAATTTGACGGCGCATGTGCACTGATTGCCCCCTCACACCTCTCCCTTCTGTGCTGGACCTATAATCCCCTCATGATCACTTTCCCAGGTCTTCCCACAGTCGCTTCCTTCTTGTTGTCTGAGTCTCAGCTCAAACGTTCTCTCCTCCAGGGTTTTCCCTAAAACTCCCCTCTCTCACACACACAACAGTCACAACCCTCACTGTATTTTCTTTTTGTTTTTGTCCTGGAAATTGAATTGAAGACCTTTGCACTGTGACACATTCCCAGCCCCTTTTAAAATTTATTTTTAACTTCTGTGATAGGATTTTACTTGTGATCCTCCTGCCTTGGCCTCCAGAGTACTGTGATGACAGGCGTGCACCACCACACTGGGCTTTGCATTTCTTCATACCACTTACTGCCTTCTGATTTTATCTTATTAATTTGCCAAGTAGGTAACTGCCCTCCCCCCAGTACAGGCTCCCTGAGTGCCAGAACCGTGTTGTGTCTATATCCCTGGGTCTTTAACAATGCCTGCCTGAAGGTTCTCAAATAGGTGTAGATTGAATCAAGTTAAGCACAGAGATGCTTGCCCAGTCAGTAAAGGGCCTTTATGGCTGACTCACTGCATCTTTGTCTCCTGCAAATGCCTTGTCCTACCTGCTTCCCCGGGCTGCAAGAACCCCTCACTACCACAGAGGCCACAAATCCACTGCCACCACTGCCACCTTAGTTTTCTTAGGAGCTGTGGGCCGGCACACTCAGGACTTATAGCTGGTCTCCACACCCTAGTTCCCAGGGGAAATGATCCCCGCTCTTGACACATTTCCAGCCAGCTCCAGCTCCCCTTATAAAGCCCAATTTGTGGACCACTGCTCCTATGAGCACATGCTGTCCTGAAGAGCCTTGCTACAGCTCCACCAACATTTATTGAGGGTTTCCACAAGCCAGGCACTGCAGTAGGTGAATCTCCAAAGGCATGCCAAATGCCAGCACCCTCCTCCGAGTCTCCAAAGTCCTTGTACTTCCTGTGGTCTGCATGGCAGTTTCTGTCCTGGGCAAGTTGCCACGCATGAGCTGAAAGGAAAGGGTGATGGCCCAGAACAGGGAAACCCACGTCCCAGGCTTGGGTCCCCACTTGCCAGCACCTGTCCAGCTATCTCCAGCCCTCACCTCCTCTGGCATTATTAGGGGAAGTTGCTCATCTGGAAGCAGATGTTCTGCTTGGGGCTGGACAGCAACTCCAGCTCTCCACTGTTTAGCCCCATGATTCTGTGTGAGGATCAGGGTGGAAGCAAGAAGCCCTAGAGGGAGGTTCATCAGCCAGCCTGTGATCCACAGCTTTCAGGTCTTCAACCCAACTGGGGATCCAGAGTGTTCTGCAGCCCAAGACTGAGGCCGCTGGATGATAATGATAATAGTTCAAATTGGGGGATTTGCAGACTGGGATCACGGAGACTAGGGTTTGGGGCAGGAGAATGGTGTGTAGGTTTAAGGGGCCTTGAGCCCCAGCTACTGGCCATCTTCTGTCCCCTGGGCTCCTTTGCCAGGCTGATTGACTGCTCCATAGCATCACCCTCCAACTGTCATGGAACCCTGTGCCCCAAGAGACCCAGTCCAGGGCCTTCATCCCCAAATTAGCCTCCTTGCCAAGCTACAGCCAGCATACTCTCTTCTGGAACTGAGACCTAATGTCTTTCTTGGAGAGAATAGCAGGAGAAATGTAGGTGAGAGAAGAAATGGAGCATTCATTCTTGGCAGTGGAGGGTGCCACCACCCACTCCCCATGATCAGCAGAATCACCTTCCCTGATATATTACAGAGGCGCATATGCAGACACAGATTCTCTGAGACACACTTGAGAGGGCACAGGAGATATCCAAGGAATGAAACTAGAGTCTGAGAACCATACTTCTCAACTGGTGGCTGGTTGTAGAAACAAGTGGAGTGACTGCTGGTCTCTTGGGCCCAGATCACCATCTCCTTTGGCTGGATAGGTCCCTGATCATCCTTGTTGGCTGTAGGACTTTATCTCTGTTGCAGTGGCTTGGTTTGGTCTGGTTTGGTTTGGTTTGAACTGCATTGAGCCAGCAATGTCTTCCTTGACTGTGAACATAGCAAGGATACTCACTTGCCAGGGATTCAGCCAGCTCAGTGCCCATCAGCTGCTCTCTACTTTGCCTCTGTCTCCATGGGCAACCACTGAAGACATCCTCATTCTTATTGCTGTGAGCTCGGAGGCTTTATTTCATTGGCTGCCTGGCTGGAAGTTCAGTCCCTATTGGTTTCCACTAGAGGTAGTGTTTCCACTGGTAATGAATCCAATGGATGGATGGGTGGTTTCTATCCCTCGGTGTCATGCTGCCAGTGTCCCAATCTGAGCCCCCACCCCAGCCTGCATTAGGGTGGGGGGTCACTGGGGGTGCCTGAAGAGGGCTCCATAGCCTCAAGAAGCCTCTGGTGCCGACGAAGGTGCTTCCTCCGTTCGTGTTCCCCTGTGACTTCACACACCAACTGAGCAGGAAAGGCCCCAGGAAGCCCCTTCAGCCAACCTAGGGAAAAAGACAGGGCAGGGAAAGACGAGGGGTGAGGACAGAGGTCAGGGAGGAGTGAGGAAGGAAAGGGGTCTCAAGCCTTGGGGGTCATGGTGGGTGCGATAATTTGTGGAGATGCTTGGGGTGTTGGTACACAGGCCAGCAGCAGCAGCAGGTGCTGCGCCTGCTGCTGCTATAGGTGATGGCAGCATTGAGAGGGTTAGGGCTTGTCACTGCTGTGGAGCCCCACAGTGACTGTTCATGTCATTCAGAGTAAGAGGCAGAGTTTGTTTGTAAGAAACTGGGGACTGAACCCGACCCTTCACGCTGAGCTACATCCCCTTTTCTCTATTTTGAGTAAGGTACTCACACTAAGTTACTGAATTGGCCAAGCTGAGATCAAATTTGCAACCCCCCTTATTCAGCCTTCCAGAGTACTGGGATTAGACTGAGGATATAGCTCAGCAGCACAAGCACCTGTCTGGCAAGCGCAAGGTCCTGAGTTTGATTCCCGGTACCAAAAAAAAAAAAAAAAAACCAGAGTACTGGGATTAGAGGAGCCTGGCTGAGGCACTGTTTGGGGGTTACAGGTCCTGGCCGAGGTGGAGTTCTTATAGAGACTTGCAAGGACCCACAAAATCTCATCCCTGTTACCTCTGGACCTCTTTGCCCTCTCTTCTCCCCTGTCCGGCTCCCTCTCACCATCCTGTCCTCCCTACAGTGCCTCCATCACACACCAGACCAAAGGGGCTCTGCAGTGCTTGTCCCTCCAAAGGGGACACTCTTTCTCCAGACGCCATGTGCCCAAATTGCTCGCTTCCCCCCAGCCTTTACTATAAAGTCCACCTCAGCCTTCCCATTTGAAACTGTAACTCTCCCTAACCCTGAAAATTCCCAACTTCCTCATTCTGGTCCACATTTAGTCTTCCTGGAGCACTCACCACCTCCCAACATGCTTTTATTTATCTATTAATCATGTTTATTCTGTATTGTTTGCCTCCTCTATTAGACTGAATGCTGCAGGTCTAGGGATGCAGCTCCGTGGTAGAGCGTTTGCCTAGCACATGCAGTGACCTGGGTTCAAGCCTCAGCAACACTGCAGAAGCAGGGTGCATGCTCCAGCAGGACAGGAAGCTTTGTGGGTTTGGTTCACAGTGTTTAGTAAATATCAATTGAACGAATAAATAAACAGACAAATATCAAGTGAGTGGGTGCATGAAAGAGTCCCTCACCTTCAGGACTCTTGCGCACATGCTTGGCAGGAGCTCTGGACTCCACACCCGGTCCCTCAGTCTTGGCAGGTGTAGATGGCTCTGGACACAGTTCCTGGGAACACTCTGGTAGTGGACAGGTGACATTAGAGTGGGATCCAGAGACTTTAGAGCTTCTCCTCCCTATTTCCCATAAGACTCACTTTGCCTTCCCTTCTGCCCTGAGCATGATACTCACCACAGTCCTCATAGATGGTATCTGGGGAGCAGGGCAGGGGACCTGGAGTAGGGAAGGCTCCCAGCCAGCGCTGCATGTCTGATCTGGAGGGGACAGAGAGAGGGCTCACGGTTGGCCCAGGGAGGAGGGAGGGTCCATAAGGAGAAAGCATGGGGAGTGGCAGTGTGAGAGTTTGGGGAAGGTCCCAAGGCCCAATGGTGATTTGTGTGTGTGTGTGCATGCACACACGCAAGCACGCACGCACGCAAGCACGCACGCACGCGCACACACACACACACACATATGCTGGCCATGAACCCAGGGCCCCACACATGCCAGCACAGGCTCTACCACTGAATTACACCCCCAGTCCCCAAAGGTGTTTTCTGGAGGCACAACTCACAGGGAGGAGGCTTGGAGTAGCCGGTGGGTGGGGCGCCCCTGGTGGTTGCTGAGAAGGGAGAGGCGGAATGTAGGGGGTCCAGATGGGTCTGGAACCTGCTGGGCCTGCACCAGGGAGCGATGGGCATAGTCCAGAACCTGCAGCCGCTGCCCACTGCCCAAGGAAGAGGGCGTTCAGAGGAGAGCAGAGATCCCGCTGAGCTCCTCCTCTCCACCCATCCCCGGCTCTCTCTCCCCGTCAGAACCCACCTCTTGGGCTGAGTGATGAGCAGCAGGTCACTAAAGAGCAGCAGGCAGAGGGGAGTGAAGCGGGGGCGGGAGGTGAAGAGCACGCCCCCCCTCCGGCACCCTAACTCGGTCAGCTCTCCCTGCAACTCCAGGCGCCTTGACCAGGAGACCAGCGGCAGAGCCTGCGAGAAAACGCCACGTTGTAGCTTCATTGTGCTGGGGCTACAGGGGAGATGAAGAGTCTGGGCCGGAACTAACCTTGACTTTGTGGAAGCGCAGCCTTTGGGTGAGACGGATCAGCTCTTCAGTCTGCTTCATGCGCCCTACCTCAGCGCTGCAGCGCTCAATGATCTGAGGGAGGGCGCCGAGTTACCCACCTCCTACTCCCTTCCACCCCTCCCTGTCACTTCTCCCAGCCTCAGCGTCCCTCCTGCCCACCTTGCTGACAGCACCCAAGGCCTTCTGGGCATTTTCCTGGCGGCTGGATCCCTCCTCGGTCTGGCGCAGGATATTCTGGGGACAAGGAGGAAAAGTGACCGGGACTCTTGCTCTGGCACCTTGGGATTCAAAGGGCCCACAGCTCGGAGGGCCCTGCCTGGCTCAGTGAAAAAATGCTCAGTTCAGGGTCACAGGGCTGCTGCAGTAGCCTCAACAAGGCCAAAGAGAGGCTATCCTGTCTCTTCACCGTAGCCCACCCCACACTGTAGGGTGTGGTTGTTTGTTTGTTTGTTTGTTTTCCTAC